AAATAATACTAAATGTGACAATTATTTTATTATCTCAATACAAAAATACAAAATTTATAAATAGTTTCTTGATGCCAATCTTATAAAGTTTATATGCATGTTTGTATTGACCTTTTGAAAACTGCTTCTATATCGATTTAAACGATTGTTAGTCCATTTTCAAGAAAGAAATTTTGTTTTTACATAAACTCATTTTTATTAAACACTCGCTTGCAGGCTTCGCCTAATTAAAATTCGTGACTAAAACTTTAAACATAATACGATACAATTAGTTTTTTAAAAATTAATCTTGATGCCTAATTAATTATTCTTTTTATAATGTGTTTGTTTTCTATGTTTACCTAGTTCTGTCACATCAAACGTTTATTCAGTCAACTTTAATGTTTTGTAGAATTTATTGGTGTAATTTAAACTCCCATATTTTTAGAAATGATATTTATACTTGTAGATGCTTTTGTTAAATTTAATTATTTCAAGTGGTAAACACATCCTATGTTTTATTATACCTACATTACAGATTTTTTGTAAAATACAGTCAGAGCTAGGAAAGTTACTTCTGAAAAGTATCTAGTTTTCTTTTATTTACTACTACAAGTAAGAATTTTATCGCAAGATACATTTACCCCAATCTTACAATTACCCCACCTTACCTTAAATAGATACTTTTGAGTAACGAAATTACTTTTAAGTATGAATAAAAACTATAAAATTATGAAAATTTTACAAGTTAAAGTTTTTTTTTAACTTTGAATCATTCTGGAATTCCCCCAATTTTCTCTAAGAAAGTATCTAAGTTACACTGAAACGTATCTAAGTTACTTTAAAAAGTATCTTAGTTACTTTAAAAAGTATCTAAGTTACTTGAATGTATCTTTACCGAGTAATTAAAATATTTTTTTAGTTACAAGTTACAAGATACTTTTCCAAAGTAACTAAGTTAAAGTTACTTTCTGTCCAATATACTTTAAGTATCTAAGTTACTTTTAAGTATCTTTTTTTCAAGATACAGCTCTGAATACAGTCATAGGGAATAGTTATATACTGTTTCCAATTCTTTTAATTTGAAACCTATTCCTATCATTCATTTAGAATTTACAGACTAGATATTTCTTTACTTAAGAATCTTCAACCTGTCTCTGTTTGTACAACGTTTTAGCACATCTTCGAGCACCTACTCTTACGCATTCTTCAGCGCTCAGGTCTTTGGTCAATTAACTTTACATATTAAGCAAAACGTCCAAATATGTTAAACATTTCAGTGGAACTCTTCAGCTGTACATAGCTGGCGAGCTAAGAGATGCCGTGGTACGCGAATGCCGCGGCCCACCGTTGGCATTCCATACCCGGCCTGGCGATGCCATAAAAGCCGAAGAGGTCTTCATGTTTGCTCGGCCACTTTCCACCCGTCCTCTGTCACGCCGTCGCTAACTAAATGCGTTTTGCCGTGTTTCATTGATTTTTCTTTCGCAGATTCAATTTCGAGCTAATCGATCGACCTTGAAAAGGCACGTACGAAATTATCAAGAAAATGGAGTTTCAGAAATTATGGTGGAAAGTACTTGGTGGCCAGGGTTGCCAGCTGTTCTGGATTTGACAGTACAAATTCGAAGTGTTATAAAATTTATGCATTTTTAACTACGAATTTCGACTCAACTTGACAACTGCGCAATGTAATCTAGATAAAAAAAATGAACTACATTTAATGTTATTTTTTTTTATCTGGACTGCGGCAACGTTGCAAATTTAGGGTTTTGGTTGGTAAATACAGTTGTCAAGTTGGTCGCATTGATTTAAACAAACTAAGCTAGTTATAAATTTAATTGTGGTTATGTATAAATTATTATAGGTTACATTGTGCAGTTGTCAAGTTGAGTTGTCGAAATTCGTAGTTAAAAATGCAATTAATTTGGCTTTGGTGGTGCTTGGATGAGTAAAATCATATAAAAAAAAGTTAAATATAGGTTGTTTTACGGCCCAGAGGAGAAAGTATTCCTAGCGAATAATAATCTTCGCTTTGAAAAGAATTTATATAAAAGAAATTAAAATGTGTGATGTAATATTTATAAAACCAAGGATATGTTCCGTAAATACACACGAGTTACCGGTCTGGTTACTGAAATAAATTCCTGGTTTTCTCGGTTAGTTCATATTTACGGGACACCTTTATTTGAAAAAACATAACCCAACTTACTTTTTTCGACCTACCCTTTAAAATCTCTATAGTTAATTTTTTATTTGTGTCAAAAACTACAACTTGCATATATTTTTAATAATATTTCTATAGTTACATAAACAAACCTAAAACACCCTATATACTGAATTCAATTATTTTTGGACAAAACGTATTTTGTATGCGAAGTCTGCTCCTGTGTTAAATTTTTAGGTTAGATAACCAACACAAAACAGTAATTTTGTTTAGGGCAACACTGTTTCCATTTGGTTTGCAGCACTGGTAACCGATTTAACCGATCATACAGCGTCGGTCGTTTCGGTAACGATTTTTAACCAATTTTTCAGGAACCGCGTTTCTTAACTACATAATTTTCAGGAATTTTTCATTTACGGGACACCTTAACCGAAACCAAACGAACCAAGTTGACTTACGGAACATACCCCAAGTTCGTTACTTTTTTACCCCAAAAATGTCCATAAAGCGATGTACTTTTTCTTCCATTGTGGCATTTGGCATAATTTCATCAAAATGAAGTTTTGCCCTCAAAAGGGCTTTTACATTCGAATTCGTTGCTATTATTTTTGGCAAATTATCTTTTTATTTATATTATTGTCAATTTGACAGTGTCAAAGTATTTAATTAAATTCTTTAGCAGAAGTACCATTTTTAAATACTAAAAATACTAAGTCAAACTGGCATAAGCCACCAACCTAACAAAAAAACACGAGTCCAGATAAAAAAAATTAACTGTAGATGTACACATTTTTTATTGAATTTAACCACCACCTTGATAGGTACCTTTTAAAACACTGGCTTAATTAAAGGTATACACCTGCAGATGTACTACGTATTTTCCTAGAAACACCCATTAAAATATCTTTCTACTTCCTGGTTGATTGTTAAGTAACTGCTTTTTCTTAAATATAATTGTTTTATATAACTTAATTAATTGATATTTAGGTTTTATTAAATTTAATAAAACCTAAATATCACCCAATAAAAATCTTGTCCCGCCTATTCTCCGAAACTAATTAACATATTTATTAAAAACAAAACTGTTTAATGTGTCAATAATATAAATAAATTGTTGAAAAAAAAAGTTAAGCGTGCCCACATAAGTTGAGCGGCCACCTACTGGATAATAAGATACATCAGATCGCTTTATTTTTATTATGAAATCCCACGTAGGCAATTCGTTGTGAAATCAATAAGAAACAAACAAAATATAACTCTTCTTAAAGTTCTAAAGCCTCATTATTCCTTGTAGACAGCGTTACCTGTCCCAATTTTTCACTCCAGTTTCTCATCATCGTCTAGCCGCCATCAGATGGTCTTGGATATTTTTAGATGGATGGTTTACTTGAGTCATTTTACAGCCGAATCCTGGCAAACATTCATGGTCGCCTCGTTAAGATAAAATCGGCCCAATTAGCGAACGATGACAGACTTCAAATAAAGGAGAGCCTTGCGAATAAGTTCTTAGGCCCGTTACGTACGAACGGCAATATGTGAAACGGTTAGAGCATGAGCCTGTTGGTAAAACTACGTGATTATGTATCAAGAAACGAATGTTTCCGTCTATTTTTAGCGGACGCGCCCAATTTCCGACGAAACAGCAAAGTTTAGTTTTTATTGTCCGAAACGAATAGCACTTAAGGCTTTTACGTATCCAACCATGATTCTCTTTTTTTAGCTATGACTTTACGAATTTGAATAATAGTAAACAATGATGCCATCAAAAATTGGAAACCTTTAGATACAGTGGGAGGTGGACTACAACTATATTAAACAAATATTTATGATTTCTGAAAACTAAATTCAATGTCAAATTATACTTTCCCAGCGCGTGTGGTATGCAATATTTTTGAATTAGCAACATAAAATTTTTGAGTAAAAGAAGCCTTTAACATTGAACGCTATTCTTAAATCGTACGGCATTGAAAGAATGATATAATATTTATTTTGTATAGCGCTTAAAATTTCACTTTTCGCTATTACGAACCGAACGAATCTCTTTGTGTGTAGACAAAGATCATTTAACTTTGTCATTTAATTCGGTCAAGGATGAAGTTTATGTTCTCTATGTCCATAAAAGGTTCTTAATTTGATGGCGCCCGACGCTTAATGCATCGATATAAGACAACCTTAGCCTACATTTATATTTACTTTATCATCCCAAAAAATACATTTAAAATTCTTTCTCCGACGGACATTTTTTGAAATAACACTTAAAAGATAAGTGATTTTATTAGGTCTATATCACTATTTATGTATGTATATACAGAATATATTTTAACATAACGTCCTGGATGTGTCCCCTAAACGTCCCACGGGTTATTCTTCTTATTTGGATATGTAGATCTTGAAGAAATCCTCTGCACTTAAACATACTCGATTAACTAGACATTATTCGTTACTGAGTGGATCAGCCCCACTCTAATCATTGTTCAGCTGTGCCATCACAGACGCACATCTTCAACTGATATTTGTAACCTGTCGGTATATATACTTATCAAGCGTGCGTAAGCAACGGTGAGAGGTATTGCAACTATAATGTTATGTACTGGTATTTTGTATTATTTTTTGTAGCAATTATGTTTTGTAATGGCCATTTACCTATTTAGTTGATGAAATTAATATTTTTAATTAATCATTTCAATCTGGGACATTAAGGCTGGTCCAAGGACATCCTTAAATGACATCCCCAGGATATCCAGTCCTCTGGACGTCCTTATAGGATCATCCCATAATTTACACCCAAAATCTAATAGATTTGCAACTTAAGATGCGTCTTCACTGTATATTAAATATATTTTCCTTGTTTCAGGTTTTAGATTAGGTAACGATGTCGAAGGTCGAACGAAAAGAGTTTCAAGAAACGAGCATACGACGAACGGTATCGCCGATTCGATCGTCCCAGCAAAATTTATCGCAATTCGATAGCAACTTAGGTAAATCATCATCAATCACTTCAACTTATTTTTAAATGTTGCCATTCAATTAACCAACTAACAGCAGGCGTGGATTAAAATGAATGAAAGGCTTGTTTCAGATTATCTGCTTGAAGATCTGCAAAATTCCGTATCTAGGCCGGGCAGCTCCTTGGGATACCACACCGCGAGCAGATCTTCCAACACTTTGGAGTCGAACCGCACCAACTCCCTTAACAGAATCACCCCGTTAAAGTCGTCCAATCCTGTCACGGAGTATTCTTCTGATGACGCTTACACTTATACGGTACGGTTAAATGCTTAACCACGACCAAAACGTCAACTGAACGTAACGTTTTGGCCATGTTTTCGTTTATGGTGCTGGTTGTTCAAGGTGTTATCGTAAAATTTGCTTTGTAGACTCCCGACGGAAGAAAAGTAAAGGAATACAAAAAAGAAAAGTATCAGATGTACAAATCAAGCGGAGGAAGCGATGTGACGGATAAAGGTAGAATGCAGAGTAGCATCAATCAACTCGATTCCTTACTCGATGATTTGCAGCAAGTGAAAAAGTCGTCATCTTCGTACACCGAAAGAGGTACTATCTATAAACAACCAAAACACGTATTTAACTTAATTAATCGTATCATTGGCACTGTGCGATTTTCATTAGGCAACACCCCGTTTCCTGTCATTTTCACAATTTGCTCCACATCGTGAATCATACTTACTCACAAGCCCGCTTTTATTTATAGAACCGTTTATTTTTCAGAAACGTACACTGGCGCTGATCCAGCCTTTCAGTAAGTATATTGTTTTTAATTTTTGCCAGCGAAACGTGCGGATAACTTCACCCGAACGATTATTTATATAACGCAACAAAAACATCGTGTAACAATTAAACGTAATTTTCATCTCGACAGAAACAAGACAACAAGCGTAAATCGCGAACTGCACTATGGAGACACGCCGAACCGGTCCAGATCCACAGAAAGATCAACGGAAGTCAAAAAGTACTCCTCAGAAGGTACTTGAATAATAATATAAGGGTCTTAACGGCACAAAACTTTATCTGTACCTAGAATGATTTCTGCCGTTAGGAGAACCTTTATTTTGTTTCAAATCAGTTTTAAGGGTAATGCCCGGATAGCACAATAGTAAGTACCGAGTACGTCCGAATCAGGTCCTGAACCTTCCCCAGGACGTACCAAGGACATCCGATGTTACCAAATCGACGGTCCCCAAGTGAGACATCCTCTGGCCGTCCTGAAATGCTTTATTGGGGATTATTGGACAAGCTCTACAGAATTGAAGAGTGGTATTCCCAAAGGGTCTAAGTGACAAAAATAAAATTGTGAGTTATCAATGAAAAACAAATATTTTGAACACATAAATGTTGGAATATTTTTTAAGTCATTCTGCATGACACAAACAATTTTTAAATGATAATATATTATGTAGCCAACTTGACACTTAGACCCTTTGGAAATACGTATACCATGCTTTAATTGCTAAAGAAAAACAAAAATTACGTCCTTGGGACGTACCGAGTATATCCGCTTTAATTTTCCCAAATAAGTGAGACTGGACGTACCCAAAAGTTCCGATATAGGTCTGGGACCCGAAATGGACGTCCTGGGTACCTATTGTGCTATCTGGGTGTAATGTAATGTAATTGCATATAATATATTTTAAACTTAGGTACTTATGGTGACTTGAGACCAATCCGGCCAATTTCTCCATCGTCGAGGACCTCGACCCTCTCCAAGCAAACGAAGGTGACCAACGTGCAGAAATACCCGATGGAAGTGGTGGAAACCATCCACCCCGACATCGACCCGGACGTCTTGGCACATTTGGACCCCAACCTGCGACCACCAGGCAACACGAAAGTGACCACCACCATAAAAACGTACACGTACGAGATTCCCGGTTCGGGCGATTACCCAACCAACCTGAAATCCGACACTTCCGTCGACGAAAAGTACATTTACTCCCCGAATAAATCCATCACGACGCCGAGCAAAAGTTTTGTGTACCAGAAAACCGAGAACCAAGAGAACACCGTTTACAGGCCGGAGCCGAAATGGCAAACCACCAAGCAGTACTACAAAGATTCCCAGATGGAACACGTTGAAAAATATGCGCCACCTGCGGCGCCCATTTCACCCGCCACCACCGTGGTTAAAGAGGTGGTGACCACCAGGAACTACCAACCCGGTTACATCCCAGAACCGCAACCGCCAACCGAGAGGACTTATCTCTACAACGAAACCACCTCCACGAAGAATATCAACGGGTACCCCCAGGAACCGCCCAGACACGAAACATACATCATCAAGGACACCAGGAACACCACCACCAACAACAGGACCCTGCCTTACTCCGATAGACCAGATTACCCAGTTGGTAAGCTATTTAAAACTGTAAAAAGTGTATTGTTACCTACTCAATGTTTTCTTAAAGGTAATCCACCAAATGAAACTTACATATACAAAGAATCAAACACCACAAATCGTGTTGTTAATCCGCCTTACACAAATGGATATCCACCGAGCACAGATAAAACTTACATTTACAAACATGAGAGTACCACCACCAACAATTATGGACCTGGAGGACCACGAACAGGTACTTAGAAATTCTTAAATTTTACAAAATTTACCTTGGCGTTTTGTAAAACTACTTTTTTCAAACTTTTCAACTAGGTCTATTTATAAATATAACTATCAATATTAGTAGTACCTACCTATATTTGAAGAGTTTGATAAATAAATATCAGTAGGCCGTGAAAGCAAATTCAGCGGTGCCAATGTAGTACCTACTTAAATAATAATTTTAATTAAGAAATTAATACTTTACCTATTACAAATTAAAACAACATAAAAAGAAAATAAGTAACATTAAATTGTTAATTTGTTGTTATAGGTAATGTGTTTTAAGTACAAGTTGGCAGCAAAATTTAAAATGATTATAGAAAATAGCACTTGTGTAAAAGTGTTATTTCCATTCTATACTACCTATAGTTTATTTTCCACAGATTTCCCATAGATTATTTCAAAACTTCGTTTCCAAACTTAAGAAATAAATTATGATAATAGCTTAAAAATTGACTACTTATTTAGTTTATTTTTTATGGAAACTTAATTTTAAGGCTTAAATACAAAAAAACTACCCAATTATTATTCATTGGCCTTTTTTTAGTTTTCTTAAACGTCGCATGGTTTTTCTTAAATAATATCTCAAAACTATGAATTGTCATGTTAATATCACACACTTTTTATACATTTTCGTTATAAAATCGCGAAATACACCAACAATAAATTCAAGAAACTCATAAACAAACATGGCGTCGTTTCAATGGGGTAGTTAAATTTTTTCTGACCTATACTTTTTATGGTTTTATTCAAGGCGTTTTGTAATATTAAACATTTCTGTAAAATCAGAATTTCAATTGAGTTTACCGTTTTCGAGATATTTACAAAAAATATACATTTTTATGACGTCACAAACCTCGCCATGTGACCAACATTCTAAGATTTCTATTGGTTGAAAATTACCCTGTTGTCAAGTTGTCTTGTTAATGATTTCATTTGGTTATGTCAGAAAATACCCGAAGAGGTTATGTACAAATACTGTCACTGTCAGTTGAGTGAAAGATGGTCACCAAATTCATTAAGTACCTATCTTCCTTATTACGAGGTATCATATTACTGTTTGATATTTTAGAGTCCAAGATATATCTAAAAGAATATAAAGAACTAGGCATTATACTAATGAAATGCATTTACGACAAAATATGATTATAATTATAGGTAGGTATTTACTTTATTTGTTTAAAAGCTCCAATGTTCAATGTAACCAACCATTCCACAAGATTCCTCTGCTTTGGAGTCCGTTATTAATAAATCACTTATCTAATATCAATTACAAATAACATAACAATAACATTGATTTTCAATAATCTAAATTTTAACCCGAAAAAAAGAAACGTCAAAAAATCAATTCTTCTTCTTCTCAACTAAAATTTTAGATCAAGTAGTTTTAAAACTAAAATATTATAACGTGGCGCCATCTATTGTAAGAATCTTAAACTAACACCATAGAAAAAGCTGGCAACGTTGTCAATAGCCTAGTGACGTAATTAGGAGACTTTTTTTTGTAAATATCTCGAAAACGGTAAACTTAATTGAAATTCCGATTTCGCAAAGATGTTTAAAATTACAAAACGCCTTGAATAAAACCATAAAAAGTATAGGTCAGAAAAAATTTAACTACCCCATTGTTTCAACAACTAATTTAATTGGCCGCCAAACTGTCAAAACAAGGCCGCCTGTTTAAATTCAAATTTGACATTTAAACGTCAAACTTGCAATTTCAATGTTACTCCGTTTTTAGGTCCGCCGCCGTCGGGCAGGCCAAAAACTCCGGTCGACGTCGACACTTTCGACCCCAAAAACCCGCCGTACGGGCGCAAACCCAACGAACCCGTCAACATCACCTACAAATACACTTCCAACAGCACCACTTCGAACAACTACAAGGGCGGCTACCCGGACGACGAGGGCCCGAACTTGAGGCCGAAAAAATTCCCCACTGACGACGAAATCGTCGATTCTGGGCCGCCGAAGAGACTCGACGATCTCATGGCCACCATCGGAAGAGAGGTAAACTGTCATTTTTTTTAACCAAGCCAACTTACAGTTCATTTTTTTTATCTGGACTCGTGTTTTTTTGTTAGGTTGGTGCCAGTTTGACTTAGTATTTTTAGTATTTAAAAGATGGTACTTCTGCTAAAGAATTTAATTAATTACTTTGACACTGTCAAATTGACAATAACATTTAATTGATAATTTACTTGTCAATTATAAATAAAAAGATAATTATGCTAAAAATAATAGCAACGAATTCGAATGTAAAAGCCCTTTTGAGGGCAAAACTTCATTTTGGTGAAATTATGCCAAATGCCACAATGGAAGAAAAAGTACATCGCCTTATGGACATTTTTTGGGTAAAAAATTAACGAATTTGTATTATAAATATTACATCACACATTATTTTCACATTATTCACCATTGGACAACATTTACGTTCACAAAAAATTTTAATTTCTTTTATGTAAATTCTTTTCAAAGCGAAGATTATTATCCGCTAGGAATACTTTCTCTTCTGGGCCGTAAAGCAACCTATATTTAACTATTTTTTTATATGATTTTACTCATCCAAGCACCACCAAAGCCAAATTAATTGCATTTTTAACTACGAATTTCGACAACTCAACTTGACAACTGCACAATGTAACCTACAATAATTTATACTTACATAACCACAATTAGATTTATAACTATAGCTTAGTTTGTTTTAATCAATGCGGCCAACTTGACAACTGTATTTACCAACCAACCCTAAATTTGCAACTTTGCCGCAGTCCAGAAAAAAAAAGAACTTTATTCTTATACAATCTTTCTATGTTTTAGCCACCGAATAGTCCGTTAAACTCAGGATTTAATCAGCATGAAGACGAGCTGGCTACACAAAGGAAGGTGGACACTTTGAAGAGGCAACAAGAGGAAGCGGACGAACAAAAAAAGGAGCCCGTCATGAAGGCTAAGAATGTTTCTGGGCCCCCTGTATATTACCCACCCGGACACGAGATGTTCGCCAAGAAGGAGGAAAGTCAGGCTGGATGGAGAGCAGAGGTAAGTTGATTTAACCGTGCGGTAACCGCATTTTTTCGCACGCCGTGCGGTAAATACCCACTTTCCACACTTTATACATTTTTAGGGTGGTTATGCAAAGGGCAAAGGAATGTATGAATACGAGGCCAGCAGCAAGAGTAAATCGAAAAGTAAATCAGGTGCCACGGTCGTTCCAGTTTGCCTTCCTTTGTGTTGTGGATTACCATGTGCTTTACTGTAAATATAATTTTAAAATGCTCAATTAATATTTGACGACGAATTCTCAAGTGCCTTAATTATAGTTTTAAACAAGCCACACATGATTATCCATAAAGCCTTATTATCTATATACCTCAAATTAATCAAATTTAATTTTTATATTTAATATTAAGGGCAGCAAGTGGCAACTTATTAATGTATAAATGTAATGTATTTAATTTAAACTGTAAATAAATAAAACTTCCCTATAGGCAGCTTTTTGTAAACATTTATTAATAATGATCTTAACAATAAGTTAACAGAATAATTGTATTTATTTAGTACTTCTTGCCTTAACAAATACACATGACTAACTGTAAAAATGTATTTTATTATAAAAAATAAATTGTCACACTACAAAGGCGTTTTACTTCTCTCCTGTACCAACCCTAAAAGCGCGCAGTCTGCTTCCAACAACGTTAGATCTTTTTCAAAGCCGAGAAACCTTGTCGACAACTCCAATTCTTTTATCATCAATCGTACCTTACTGCCTCTTACATAACTTTCACCATTTTTCTTTGGCCTAGGACAAACGCAATGAAACTTCCAACCAAAGTCCACGTACAAGTCATCGTCAACAATGTGGAATATTTTACCTATAACAACTTTGCCTTCCGGATCCCCCAACTAAAATAAAAAAATAAATTGATCAGATGTACAAACTATGAATTAAACTCACATCTATAAACTTTGAGTGCCTCAATAAAGAAGCAAACGTCTCCAACTTGACTTCAGGTTTCTTTTCCTTCAAATCTTCAAATTTATCGAACGCCTGAGCATAACCTCCCTGCGTTGGAACTCTGTCTGTAGCATCTGCATCCGATGAAAATAAAGCCGAACCCGTTTTAATACTGCTTTTGTACGCTTTTAGTTTGCTTATATTGCGAATTAAAGTCAAAGAAGCGAACATTTTGATTTTTATAACCTAGAAATATCATGTGTCAAACAACAATACCACCAACTGAAATTTCGTAATAGTTTTTCTTGATTGTTAATAATAATTATTAATATATAATTAAATGTATGTAAATCTTGTACGTTAAATTTTCTTTAATATGATTTGTATGGCGTAATATTTGCATACAAAAACTTTACTTTCTTTATGTTGGTGTTCCGCCTGACTGTCATTTGCATGTGACAGTTGGTTTTATTTTTGGAAGTTATTCAATAAATTTTAAAGTATATCCAGTAAAAGCTGTTAAATAAACGTTAAAATGTCTGCTGAGGATGCCAGAGTCAGTCTTACCGGTAAATTTGGCTTGAAGCCGCTGACCAAAGAAAATTTATTGTTTTATTACCTGCCGGTTCAGGGTACACTCAGCTACACAGCTCTGTCTATAAATGTTATGAACCCGTCATTAGTTTTAAGGTAAATATGATTATTTTGATGATACAGGGGTTTTATTGATGTGGTTTTATAGAATATTCCCACGCAGAGATATCACAAACGTCCTTTTGTTCAACACAATATTAGGCTCTGGATTGTATCTATACAACAGGCCACACCTAAGCGCCCTAACCACCAAAGAAAAACTCTTATACAGGTATAAAAACTTTATTTTTGCAATTATTTGTAATAATTATCATATAATTTCAGTTCTTTTGGAGCTGTAACATTCTCCTTGGGTTCTGTTCTTATTTGGGCAATCGTAAGAAGCATTGTGCCTCAGAATGTGGCTCTTTGCACGGCCTGCGGAATTGGATCTGGAGTGGCTTTAATCAAAATCGCTCGCACCTATGCCGAACATGCTGACTCGTTAGTCAAAAAAGCATAAGTACTTTTTATCATTTTTGTTGTAATTATTTGTATTTGTTAATAAACCCTATGTAATCTGAGTGGTTAATTTTACAGGCCTCGGTGTAATGTACAGCAAATTTTCATACACTTGCAGCCGATTTACTTGTTTACCTTCAAGGGGTATTCTTGTGTCTAGGTTGTAGAAAAACGCGAATAAGTATAGTAATAGGTAACGACCCACTATAAAACCAAATAAGGTTTGTCCTAAGGGCTCATTTAATTGTTTTCGGACCCATTCAAATATGTTGCAACAGCTTATGCAGAACATTGTGGAAAATATCATGCTAAAACAAAAAGATTGAGTTGAATGATTTCATAATTAATTTGTTTGGTTAAATCAAGAAATATATTAATATAGGACATGTATTTTAAAATTAACTTACAATTGCAAAAGTTATAAAGCATTTAAACCATAGCGTTAATTTCGTGGTTTATTATATACCAAATATATTACAAGACATTGAAAATTACTTAGCCATATTTTTAGATTGTTTTAATGGGTGTTTCCCCTGTATACAAATACATGTTTTTATAAATTTTCTTAAATAGTGGACAACACCATTCGTGAATCAATATAAATATAGTCGTAATATACGTTAGTTTGATCTTCATAACCAGGTACAGGTATGCTTTTGTCAATGTGGTATAAAAATGACAACAAATAAAACATTAAAATTCTTCCCAATGCAACAGAAAGAATAGTACCTAAAAGAATCGTTTTTTGAAAATATACACCTATCCATTCAAAGGCCATGCAACTGCAGTTGTTAAACATTAATGTTCCCAATATACTAAAACAAAAAAATATGTTAACTTGACTTTTTTTTAATTTAAAAAACATTATTTTGACCTCATTTTTGAAAACTTTTATTGACGGATTAATTACCACACAAAACGTCTACACAAACTATATTTTAGAGATCATTAAATTACAAATACATATCCTCGAAATCTGGGTCCCTATTACCAGTCCTATTACCGGTCCTAATGTCCATGTGATAGAGAAACGCAAGAAGGTGAATAATCATGACGCGACCACTCAAGTAACCCAGAATAGTCAGAAGAACTGGTTTGTCGGAATAACGTTCCTTAATCCAATCAAAAACCGACACTGAAGCGTGGTTAAACATCATGGACCCCAACAAACTAAAAAAAACAAGAAAGAAGGTGTCAATTACATAATTTACAAAATTGTCCAAAACTGAATACCTGCTATCTATACCAAATTATGTGTACCTACTTTTTCTTTAGAGAAGAAAAAATCTTTGACCTAATATTATTTAAAAATGAGTAGAAATGTTCTAAATGACCCTAAATTTTTTGACATTAAAGGAAAATTGGAAAATAATCAACTTATTAATATCAAGTTACGTTAAAAAAAGTTTGAATTTTTTTAACAATTATAAAATTTATAAAAAAAATAAACAATAAAGATGTCATAAAATGTAAACACCTTATTTTGATGGTATTAATCTTGATCCTGTACAAATTTTAAATGAATTGCCTCAGTGGTGGCGATTTTATACATGTTTAAATATAAAATTTAAAAGAAGATAAAAAATTACATTATTTTGTGAACTATCCTTATAAAATTTTATTTTGATTCTATGAAAAAAATATTTAATTAAAAAAAATTGTTAATAATAACCAAAATCACAGGAATAAATCAACTACGTTTTATTATTATTATTATACATTATATTTTCTATGCTACTGATTTCAATAAATTAATTTGTTTACAGAATCAAAGTTATTAACAGACAAAACTTGTGTTACATTTTTTATAATTTTCACTGTGAAAAACTGCATATGGGTGATTCTTACGAAATGTCCCTCGTGGTGATAACCCGTGATATTTAATAAAACTAAATGAGTTTGACCTACACTTTTATAGTGTTTTGATCTTTTGTAATTAAGTAGATATTACAGCTCAGGTCCCAGATTTTAAACCGCAATTAATTATTTTTTACAATGTTTTAAAAGTCTAAAACCTATCCTCCGTGACTGTTACTCTTTCTAGGTTAACCTATATGTTTTCAAATATCTGAGGTAGTAAAAGCATACTAAAAATATCAGTTCACTAAGTAAATTAAACACATCCAAAGCAATCGAATCAAATATAAAAAATTATTAAAAATTAAAAGAAATATTTTTTATAACCATTTATGTAGGAGTTGATTCTATCCTCCGTGAATCTGTTTTTGCTTTAAATTTTATGCAACGGATGGCGCTTTAATCATTTTAAATAAGCAAAAACATCTGTTTACGACATTATAGATGCATGTGATTCCTGATCTGCATCTGCATATAAATTCGAACTGACCATCGATGGTCAGTTCGAATTTATATGCAGATGAGAGTGTTGCTGTTTTATAATTCAAAAGTTTAAGTTCATTAATTTCCTATTTAAAAACCTATCCACCATGAAGTGTAATATTTCAGTAAGTACCCAGCAAACACACTAGTCCGGCCATGCAATGGCACATTAATGGCCCATTGCATTATGTAATGGCCCAGTAATGTGCCGTTGCATGGCCGGACTAGTGTGTTTGCTGGGTAGATTTCTTTTATAAATATTTTATGTATGTACATTTGTATTTTTGAAAAATATTAAGGTGTCAAAAGATACAATAACTTATTTCAAATATACAAAGGGGAGGTTTAAAAAAACATACGAAATCCTAACCTCCGTGAAGCTCTAATATTCAAAATGTATGATTTCTTAAAATTCTTGCATTAGTGCAGAACCACTTATGTTTGTTATTACTAGACCTGGTGGCTTCCCAAAAACCCCTAACAGTGAAACAACCAAAAATAAAAAATAATCATTTGTTGCTTGGTGTACATCTCAAATATTCACCCGTTTACAAAAGGGTAAAACATTTTAATTTTGTTTTTTTCGAAGATAGTGTTTTGATCGTCAAAAAAATAACATTGACAGAAAAAATTGGGATATTATCTAATTAGGAAAATATGAAATCAATTAAAGGAAGAAAAGTACCTTTATTTATAATTTTTTTGAAAAGACATTTTCTTATGGGGTCACTTAAAATCTGGACACGGTGCGGTTGAAGCCACTTTAAATGTGGGGGTCAAGTGACATTGGATTTTATTGTTGCATTTCATTCTAAGGACCTTTAAAAAACATTTACAAGAAAAATTTAAATCATTCTTAGAGCCGTTTTTTTTTAAATTAATTTTAAGTTAATTTTTCAAGTAATTTTTGAAAACCGTTTATTTTTTAATGAAATGATATTTGAAATAGAAAAAAATGTTTATTAATTAGTTTTGAATATCGTCTTAATACATTTTTACAATAGTACAAGTTTATTTTTGAACAGTTTGGTAGCATAAAATAGTAAAAAACTATTATAAATAAATTATTATTAAACAAAATTAAATATGCTGACTATTGTATTCTTGCACAGCCAGTAATAATTTCATAGAAAAGTTTTCATTGCTTTTTTTTTACTTTAAACTTTTGCCACGTTTTCTTAAAATCTGCATGTACTGATTCCATTGATTGTTCACTATAAAATCCAATCCCTTGTTGTTTCTTATTGCAAAAATATGGCACGTGATGTATTATGGCATGTACCTTTGGAGTAATACTAATTTCTAAATCCAAGAAACTTTTATGAAACTTTTTAATACAATTGTTGAATTTAGAATCAAGTTCAAGCGAAAAACAAGAATTAACGACGTCGCAAAAGTCTTGAAAACATTGTACGTATTTTAAACAGCCTACTTGTTGGTTTGATCGCAAAATATCAACTTTATCTAAAAGGGTTTTAGAAGCATTTCCTGCAAAAGATGGGCTACCATTATAAATGTCTTGAGAAACGTTGCACTTCTTGGCCCAATCTAGACTTTCTTTTTCAAATTCAATTGACATATTCTTAAATAGATGATTCACTACGCCTATCATTAGATGCAGTTCAGGGGGAGGAATGATTTCTATAACTTCTTTGTCATTCTCTGAAGAACAAATTGGGGGGTGAACACAATTTTTATATAGTTTTGCATCAGAATTCTTTTTTCCAGACATTATCCAAGCTTCGTAGTTTTTCAAAATCTCCCCGATAGTTCTATATATCCCGCATAAGTTGAGATTGCTTTTTTCTACATTGCACCAAGTACAAGGAAAAGAACTTGCATGGTTAAAATATTTGCAAGTTTTAAATCTGTGGATATCGTTACATCTCTTAAATCTCTGATATTTAGAAAAGACCATAGCACCTCAACATTTTCAAAATTTTCTTGTGCACTATCCGCAAGACCTATTAAAAATAATTTCTTAACTCCAGAATCTTTCATATTCCTAGGTGTAAAATCTATATCATAAGTAAGACGTTTTTTCTTTTGATTTTCATTACCACTTTCTGTCCACAGTTGTAGTAGTAAACAAACTTTTAAAAATCCACCTCCACCATCTATACCGATTTTTATATGTACTTCATCGTTCAATTGCCTTAATGTTTTTATACGTTCTATTAAACCATTTAAATTATTAAAAACAATCAAATTTTCATAGTACTTTGTAACATTCCCTTTTTTAGAAGACATCAGTTGCGTTGTTTTAATTTCAAAAAATTCATCAAGCAAATGATTCTTAATCTTTAGCTGGCCTTTTAAATTAGATTCGAAAAGACGTCGGTTGTTGGTAGCAACACGGAGTGCACAAGTAATACTCTCAATAGTTCTACTTGATAAGGATAAGTTTGTTCCCATTGCGGACACAGCTTCAGCAGTAATTGGTTGATCCAAATTTCTCTTCACTCCTTTAGGATTTACTATAATATTAATGGGCATACCATTTCTTTGAGATAATACCAAGTTATTTTTGAATTTACCTGGATTCCTAGCCATTTCACATAGATCACAAATACATACTTCTCCATCAGCCGACCTTGTAATTAATTTATTCGGATGTTTCCAATTAGAATAATCCGGTAATTTTAAAGATTCTTTAGTACTTTCGCACTTATTTAGTTCATAAACTTTAAATCGACATGCTGTACAAATCACACTCGGTAAACGATCATCATTACTGCTATAAGAAGCATCGCTTGATATTTTTTCTAAAAGCTTCCCATTTACATATTGGCACTAAGTTACTCTTTTTCTTTAAACATATTAAACACAATTTTTTACGATTTTCAGAATGAGTTAGTGCATGATCTTTAGATAACGACATTTTAATACAAAAGCACAGACAAGAGTAAAATAAAGAGCCTCGTTTGAAAGATTACAAACAATTCACTGTTTGTTGTTAATACAAATGTTTAGTTGCTAAGACACTATTCATTTGTTTTTTCGTTTGTTTATTTGTTTGTTCTTTATTAAAGAAAAAGTTTTTGTTATAAAAAAGTATAGTAGATGAAACGAATAATTTCATATGACTTATTGCCCGTTGTCGCAAAAAGTAATGTTTACAGACATACGCGTGTGTGTAGTTGCTGATACATTGAATGTAAAAGTCGCGTACAACATTACTGCTTGCATATCTATGATATCGTCAGCATGCAATCAGTCAGATGCAAACATTCGCCGCGTCTACTATACTATTTTTAAAGGATGGAATCTAAAATATATTTAGTTCCTAGATTTTAAAAACCTATTTAAATTATGCTTATGTATATAACGCAAATGTACAAAATTATAAATTTTTATAGAACATATATATATGTTGATATGTTGATGTTTGATATATATATCAAAACTTATTAATTAGCATTTTTTTGTATTTCAAATATCATTTAATTCGAAAATAAAGGCTTTTTTAAAAAATAACCTTTAAATCGATTTAAAAAAAAACGGCTCTAAGGATGTTTTAAATTTTTCTTAAAAATGTATTTTGAAGGTCTTTAGAATGAAATGAAAAAATAAAATCCAATGTCACCGGACACCCTCATTTAAAGTTGGTTCAACCGCACCGTGTGGAGTCTACAAAACTCAGATATGCGACAACGAATAGTTCAAAAATAACGAGTGTTTTGATTATTATTTAACAATTTGTTTATGCTTTTTTAGTTAACTAATAATAATAATAATAATAAATTATTATTATACTTTTGTTACAGCAAAATGGTTTAATTTAATATTTAATGGTTAAATTTGATATTTATAACGAGACATTGAAATAAATAATTATAAACTAAAATAACTATACTTGCAAAAATGGCGAACGCGCCGGGATACTAAGTCGTCTTATTTATTTGTTTATCATTTCTTGGAAAACCTATTACTTATAATAAATAAACATCGTGATAATAAAATCACTGTAAATTACTTTATTATTAAAACTACTTCACAATGGACTCTGAAACAATGGACTTCAACACCTACGCCCATTTGCATGGCTAATTTATGTTCGGCTCGTCCATCGACAAGATGCGAAAGAATTTCTTTTATGCAGACACAATGGGCGACATACAGGCAATACCGTGGAGCAAGTGGTCATTCTATTAGCTCTAGAAACGTGTCTTACACGTACGCTGACAAACAAATCGAGTTTTAGCACATGGCACACACATATAAGACGCGTACACGCTTTCAAATACTTTCGTTTCGAAGTTTTTTTTTTGACGAGAAACTGTTTGAAACTGCACTTCTGCAGTTAAATTACTTGTACAGTTTACGAAAAAGGTGTTATCCAGTTTTCGGGTAATGATAAAAAAATGTCAATTTGTTTTCAATCAACGCTTATGTTACAAACTAGTGTTTTTGAGAATGCAGGCGTATACGAAATTTTTCTCGTATAGGTATACCTATATGATTATTTTATTATAATTTTTTTGGATTTTTGCCTCGTTCTAAATATTTTAAACAGAGTGCGAGAAAAATTTCGCAGTAGATTACTTAAGTGTCAGGAATGAAGGGAGGTATTTTGAACATTTACAGGGTGTCTCACCAGCAATGGTACCTTAGACGTTTACTGAGAACGGCTGAGGATATCAATTTGAAATTTTTATAGCAAATATTGTACAATTTAATCTACCTTTTAAAATGATTTTGAATAAAATTCCTCTTCCGGTTTAACCGGAAGCGACATCAACTTTGTTATTTCCAATGGAACACCCTGTAAATTTATTTATTTTTAGATTCCTCATGAAATTCTTAATGAAATTGCTGTACCATTCCCTATACCTAAACTAAATAGTTTTCGATTTAATAATTTTTTTCGTAAAATTTTGACAATTTTTATAAAAATTACTAAATATGCATAGTATCTGGCAATATACAAGATAGTTGTCCAAAAATAGTAATATAAATTAAAGTAAAGGGTATTATAATTATCAGCATTATACTTTTCTCTCTGTGTAAGATTGAAGAACAGTTTATTTTTTTAATTTTTAACTTTCGTTAAAACATGCTTTTACTTGCCTAAACGTAAATCTGTGTATAGGATTTATCATGCTCATCGAAGGCCTTGTGTAGATCAGGATTCCAATGCCGTAAACCATATTTGCAAATAAGTACGGGTACGGCTCTATGCTTAAAAAGCTGAAAACAATAATTTATCGTTATTAAAACTTGTTTATTTTAGAAATTTTTCGAGACCTTGTCTGGATTTATTGGGTGGAGATTTACGAGTTGACAACGTGTTTTATTGAAAAATTTACCTTGTTAAAATGTACGGGTTTGGCGCGTGAAGTGACATCAAAAAATAAGCAATTCTTCCTTGGATGGCCGCTGTTAAGCAGAAGTTTCTCTTAAAATTGCTTAGTTCTTCGTTACCATCCATGTTTTTTGTTTTGTTACATTAACATTTTATTTTGTTGTTTTTAGAATTTCATCATTTGATAAATGCAAACTAATAGTAATTTTTACATGATAATTATATTAAACATGAAATTTTGACAAAAACAAAATGACAGCATCGTAGAAAAGTAACTAAATTTTTGACATTAAACTTTTTTTAAAAATAAGTTATATATATGGGTGATTCTACAAAAGTTGGGCAACTTTATATACTTTTCGGAGAAAATTGAACAGTATTTTGTTATGAGAACATAGATAATTTAATAAATATACTGTTCCAGACCGGACCAGTCACTTTTTCAAACAGTTTCTGAAATATCTGTGTTTTCTAAATTTGAATGCAAGGGAAGTGACGAGTATACCAGGGTACTAATTAAATACATAATTTATTGGAAAATATAAGATTTATTGCAACTTTAAGCATACTATCCATTAAATATCTTAAAATCAAATAATACCACACATCAGTGGCGGCTGGTGGATTTTGGGTATACCGATATCTCAATTATTAGATATGGGACCCACACCAAATTTGTATGAGTTTATAATGACGTTAAATAAAAAAGTTCTGAGCAAGCAGAATTTAAATTAAAGTTTGCGAAAAAATGATAACCGAAACATCGACACGGTACTGATGAATGCCATACAAATTTGAGATTATAATTCGGAATTAAGTATTTTACTGATATTTTTTTATTGGTGGATGCTACTTATCAACAAATCACATATAGCCTTATATAAATTACAATGGAATATATATACGTAAGAAAATAACTACTCACCGCAGTACTGAAATTTTGAGTGGAACTATACGTGCATTCACCACAACTTCGCCGCATTGTTTTTAAGACTGTCGTGCAAAGGGCGGGCTCTTTAGGTAATTTTTTGCCAACACTTGAGTTAAAACGAGGACTTGACGTTTAAACTTCAATATTTCGCAGGAATTTTGAATTTTAACATTGGACACAGAACTGACGGGTAAAAGTGAGTACAAAGATTATCAATTTTTTAAAAATTGCTATTATTCGAATCTATGATAAAATATGAAAAATACATTATTTAATGTTTTATAGTTTTTAGTGAAATTGAAAAATTTGAGATAAATTGAATATATTTTAAAATAAAATCACTGAAATATTTGATTCAGGAGTAGTGACACGCTAAGAAGTGATGTTTTGAATATTTATTATGTTTTTCTACATACGTGCTTTTGAAAAAATACATTAAAATTGGGTGGACAAGTAAAAAAAACTGGATCTTTTGTAATATACTAAAATATTTACAAAAAATATTAAAATACCTACTCTATTGACTGATGACATCAAGTTGTCCAACTTTTGTAGAATTACCCATACATATAAATAACCTACTTTTTAACTTATAAGTAATATTACTATATTCACTATAAATAAACCAAATATTAAACTAGTTGTAATATTTCCAATAGGTTTCTTTTATTAGTTAAATTATACTAAAAAATAATCTTTAAATTTACCTTAAGGTTATAGCCAACTGGTTAGTAATTTTTTTAGTTCAACCTTAAAAAACTGTTAATGGTGAATAAAATTAAATAAAACAACAAATTTTTTGAAAAATATTTTATTCGAGATCTGCCCAAAATATTTAAAGTTGAAGTAATGCATTAATACTTTTACTATATAGTATACATGGATATAAAATAAGTATTTAATTATTTTATAGATTAAAATATAAATACAGTTGAAACAGTAACGACCTTTACGGTATTATAATTATTTGTTATTATCTCGATAAGTTATTTATTGATATCAGTCCTAAATCAAAGTCCAACTAAAATATACATTTTTTTTCTTAGAAAAATAAAAAACAATACAATATAAACCTACAAAGTCTGTGCCACAGACTAGCTCAATAAATTAATTAATACAAATTATTTGGAAATCTCTCAACACGAATCAGTTAAAACATTAATATGTACAGATGTTTCATCTAACTGTATTTTTTATTTACATTTTACCTAGGTAAAAACTATATGTCTAAAATATCGAGTACGGACTTATATGTTATTATTCGAAAGGCAAGAATATCAAAAAAGTATAGGGGAACATGAAAAAAGTTATTTATATAAAAAATTGACTATTACGAATTTTGAAGACTTCCAGATCACGTTTTATGTTGTTTAAAACTTTTTTCCTGTTCCTTAATTGATTAATTAAAAACGAAATCAATAATGGTGATGGTGTTCAGCGTGGTTATTGGTATGCTGATGGGAGACATCTCCATGGTTATGTTCATGTCCAGCTGAAAAAAAATCAAGTCTATATAGTTAAATATAAAATTAGTATTCCAATAAAGTGTCACGTCTCGTTAAATTTTATTTAAATTTTATAACAAGTCGACGTAGATTTATGATTAGATAAATTAAAATTGTCATAAGGAAACTATTTTAAATTCCAGTTTAATTTTAATTTAAACATTAAGTATAAAGGTTGTCGAATTCCATCAATTTTTTTACGTAGTGCAAAATATGAACATCCAAAAAAATTAAATGATAGATCATCTTCATTGTTTGCCCTTAAAATTTTTGGATGGAATTTGGTATACTATAATGCTCTATTTTATAGACGATAAGACGATAAGATTGTTTTTTAATAAATCATCCGATTATTTACGATAAGTATAATAAAAAAATATACATTGTTTGAATCAGTTATCAACATTTCTCTTTTACAAATATTTTTTATTGTTATTTATATTTGTATTTTTATCAATGAAATTGTAAATATTTACCTTTATTTATCACTTTAGTCTAAGGTAAAATACATTATCTTTATTAAACTTAAATTATTAAAAATTACAAAATTGGGCTGACCCACTTTTTCCTAACCGTGATCTTAATTCGGCACGGAAATTATAAAAATTAGAACAAGGGTTTTTTAATAATGTTTTAAAAATTTAGTTCATTTAAACACATGTTACACGGTATGTTCACGGATTAAGTTACAAAGAGGTTTTTTTTATTTATTTAATTTTTGGATTCTTCTAAAAATTGTAGACTATTCGCTATAACACACATAATCATAGCATACAATACATATTGATTTTTATGATATATTTTCGTGCTTACTCTCTAAAAATGAATTAGTCAAAAATAACTAATTATAAGTCATTTAAATTTAAAAAAAGTCGGGGTCTGTCAAGCATATGTCATAACCAATGAGCCATCAGTCACTTTTATAAAAATCAATTTTATTTGTCTATAAATATTGCTCATAATATTTTAAAGTTAAATATATTTTTTGTGTTGCTGTTTTGAGCTAAACTTTTTGCATCTTTGTTTGTTTTTATGGGCCATTTAACCATGGAGCCTATATGCATTTAACTCAAACAATAATTTGTTGTTGGCCGCAAACAATTAAAAAAATTTTAAGTAGTAATAAAAATCTATTTAAAAGTGAAAAGGACTATTTTTTTAGTAAAATTCATTTTAAGAGAGTATATTTCTCACAGGGTATTTAAATAAATACTATTGTGAAATGTTTGCTTTTTCCTTCAATTGTATAAAATGGCTATTCAATAGAGTTACGTTTAGGGATTTGCCAATCGTTTAAGATTTACAATGGTATACATGGTACGCAATAATTACTTACATAACTAAACATGCGTGTATATTTTCCTTTCAAGCATTTTATATCTTTGTATTTTTTAATAAGTAGGTAGGTATGTATGGTTTTACAATTTAAAAATATCTTTAAATTAAAAGAAAATGTAGTTGAGGCAGAAACTATCGTAACTGTACGTTTATATGTTTTAAAAATAAAACTAACATTTTTCAACATACAGATCTTAATAGGGCATATCTGCACAAGTTAGGTATTCAAATAATCCACTCTACCCACCCAGCAGGCTAATATTAAAGACTGTATCAAGGACGTATCGATTTGATAGCGTTATTTATGATCAAGATCAAGATATTTCGATCGATTTGTAACAATACCGGTCGGTGAGAATACGAAGAAAAACCTTGGTTTAGCTACACTAGGCGTAGTATTAAGAATTTGTGAAAATTACCTTTCAAAAAGCAGCATACTTATCTACTGAGTATTACATTGCATTATAATAATTATGAAACAATAAATAAAAAGTAATAAAACATTTTTTCTACTCCCACCTTTAAAACGCCCTTTATCGTACATGTTTCCATGACACTAAGTGACCTTTTAAATACACATTGACAAGTTGTGGCTTTACAGCGCTTTAGTCACGGGCTTAAGTTAGCAACAGGTTTTTAGTCACGGGCTGAAGTTAGTTTTAAGTTAGTTGACAGTTGTCAAATGTCATACAATCGTTAAAATAAAGTGCCTTTCTTGTAAAATAAATTATTTTAAATAATACTAAATGTGACAATTATTTTATTATCTCAATACAAAAATACAAAAGTATTAAATAGTTTCTCAACGCCAATATTTGAAAAGTTTACTGACCTTTTAATTTCACCGGCAGTAAACTATAACTTAAATTCGAGCACGGACTCCACTGTAAAGTGCTCATAAAACATTTTCTTTACTTTCACTGTGAAAAACTGTCATTTTCAAGAAATACATTTCGATTTATAACCTTTATAATCTGTGTTTATGAAATTTAAAAATTTGACATTTGACGGTGAAACACAGATTCCCCTATTGTTTCATAGATGGCGCTCTATACAAATTTTTGATTTAAATCATTTTAAGATAATAAAAAGTATTTGTCGTAGAAAAAGTATAAAATGGCGTTTATCAAACTTGATACATAATATACTATTAGAATTATTGCGACCTATTTATTAAATACCCACCTAGTGTTCTTTCTATAAGTGCACTCATATCGTAGGTAATTATCTAAACTTTTATGTAGCTTGAGAAATGCTTCGGTATTTATAAAATATCCTTTTTAAGTCTACTACACCACTGTCGAGATACTACTCATTGTTTTGTTAACAAACAACAAACGCAATAGATTAAACAATGGCCATCGATATCTGGTTTTATTATTCCGCTTCTGACACACTGACAATGAAAAGAAAGGAAACAGTTTCATTCCGAGAGCTAGATGCATTGCAAAATCATTTTCAATTTCGTTTACACTGAAAAAAGTCAGTATTAATTTTTAAGTTGTAGGTGAATTTGAGTCCAACCTTTTATTATTTAAAACACTGTCTATAAAAGTTAAGAACCGTAATTAATTTAATGAAACATTCAATATTATTATAATAAGTGTTTCCTAACATTTCACTCGTAGAGCATTTGGGTACATGAATTTAATGTAACCCTGCGTGTCTTTATTATTAAGACAATTTTCTTAAGGGTAAATATATAAACATTTATTTATATTGGAAGTACTTGTTTCTTTATTGTTATGAATTCAGGGATTTTATTAAATAATCAAGCTATTATTGTTATAGGTTATTTAGGGATAAAACTATAATGCACAATGAATTTATTTTAACGTTAGTATTCGTTGTTTACATTCCTTGCAAGCATCAGAAAGAAATCATAACCTATAACAACAAGTTGGTATTGCGTCATTGGTACGAGAGCCTCCATGCAGATACTTTGTACGTTTTGTCGGTTTCATAAAACAGTTTTTTGTGTTTATGGTAAAGAAAAACTGTCATGTAAGGAGCAACTGGAACCCTCGAGGGTTTAGGTCTATTCCCAAATTCGAAGGTAAGTGTTTAGACCTCATGTAAATTAATTTGGGAAAGGTACATTTGTGATAGGTGACTCTTTTTTATTATTTAGAAGAAGCCATTACGCTTGAAGTGCTGCTAGTCCTCGACTCGCAAAGTGTTTTCCAACTTATTTCTAAATTAGGAGAGAGATTTGCAGTCATCAAAAAATTACAGAGTTACGAGATAAGCAGGAGCAATTAATGATCTTTTATCAGGTATAATTTTTGTTAACTGTTTTAAAGATGTGGTCAGAGTCGTTCGGCATTGGCCGTATGCGACAGTATTAAATTTCGGCCGATCAAGGTGCACTGACCACAGCCTAAGAGTATTTATTTAGTCCATTTTGTATTTTTATATTCTATAAAATAGGATACAATAAAATTGTTTAAAAATATTATATGCACATTTTATTTCTCATCAATCAAACAAAAAGTATGAAATTCATGCTATACATTAGTATACATTAGTCAAAAAAATTCTATAGTGGAAATCAAAACGTTGCCAAATCAGCGGATTTTGAGATTTTGTTATTTATGTGGTCTGCAGACTTTTGTATCAATAAACATTTTTTTGTCTACTTAAAATTATTCAAGTGCTAACATAAATACAATTTTGATAAAACAAAAAAAAATAATACCCAAGTACATGTCTGCAGATCAAAACAAAATCTCGCAATCCGATAATTTGGTACTTAGTTTTGCATTTTCACTTTAGTACATATTACCTAAAAATGCTGTTTGCTAGCAAGCTCCAAGCATTAAATAATAAGACATTGTTTTAACAACAAATACATTTAATGTGTTTCAAAAATAAGCCTATTCTAGATGTTAAGGCAACTCGATGTTTACTTAAAGTAATGATGCAGTTAAAAATAACTCAACTAACTTTCAATATTTCAAATCCACCATGCATTTATATCAAATGCACGTTTCTTAGGCCATATCCGAACCCGTAACTACTTCACCACAAATGCATAGCGTTTATATTTAATGCTAAGTTTTTTCAGTGTAGAAGATTAGAGGCATTTTCGTTTCGCGCCATCAATTCTTCGCGAGAATTCACCGGGTTTTTAACTCTAAATCCAAAGGATTTAGATCCGGCGATCTTGCAGGCCTGTTTTCTTTTGAACTGCATTCGATTGGTCTACATTCTCAAAAAAATAGAATAGAATTTGCATTGATAAATTTTTCATTTTTGTTTTTAGTTTTGATTAAAAATCAAAATTTACCCTGTATAAATACTTATATTTATATACTTTCCACTTTATTTTTTCTAGTTTTCACTTTCATTCAAATCAATATTTACTCACAATCTATGAAAGTTAATGGCCTAATTTAATATGCATCCTATAAATTGCATTTAAATGAGCTGATATTATAAATTTTAGTACTCCATTACAACCAATTAAAACTTACTCATTATGGATTTATAACATAATTTATAATATGATTTTCAAACGGTATATAATATTCATCATAAAATCTTTGTTGTAAAATTTAATTAGGTTTTATATGATATGCTGTCGAGATGTTATAAAAATAAACTTAAAGTATTCTTGATCAAAGTAGATTTATTAGAAATTTCTGAT